AGAGGCGTCGGCTGGAGAGTGACTGAGATGTTGGAGGAATAAAAGTGACATGAAGCGGAAAAAAACAGGGAAAGCATTGCTACGTAGGATTAGTCTGAATAATGAGTGCGTTGAGAATATGTTTCGAAGACATGTTCCGCCTGCTTGTTGAAATAACAAGAAGAAAAAAATAAATAAAAGAGCCACCTTACAACATAACATACCTTTCATTGCCTATTTGGAAACGTATAAGTGAAAGTACCAATTAGACCAGCACATGCCAAGAAATATTAAATGGAAAGTAACTTCATAATCTTCCTGACGGGAAGTCGGAGAGATGGGATGGATTGACAGATTAAAAAAAAAAAAAAAAAATCAAATTAAAAACCAAAGAGGAAAAGCTGGGTAGGGAGGGAAATGACTGGAGGATGGATAGAAGTAGGTCAGGAGGAGAGATTGAGAGGATGAAAGACGAACAAAGATAGAGAGGGCATCCAGGAAAGCGACAGCCGACATTAAAACGTGTGTTTTATACCACATTATGCGTATTTCTCGCTCTGTGCGAGAGCCCTGAGTATTTGGGCCAGGGCTTGTTCGCTGGTGTGACTGACAGCTCTGAGCCGGCGGGGTGTTCCAAAAACCAAAGGCTTCATAATAAACGCAACATGGTTACATTTACTCCTCCACGCAGAGGAGCGCCGCTCACTTTGCTGTCTGTTCAGAATTAGGGACACACACTGTCACTAGCGACTGCAGACGATCTGTCACAACATGCTATTTGATACAGTCCAAGTCGCCGCCAAAACATTAGACGCATACTGTTGGTTTGTAATAATAGCAATGTGGGGTTCTTTGTTGTTGCTGCTCTTAAATCACCCCACTCACAGTAATTGTTGTTTTTGTTTGAAGATGTTGGTGCTTGGACGGGAACTTTTGATTCTTAATAAATGAGACTTTAACTTAAACTTTGAATCTCTAATTTTAGCCTGTTTTCATCTGACTTCGTTTTTTAAAAAAAGTGTTAAGTGTTAGGCCTCTGTTTCTTTAAGACCAAGTTTTTAAAAGTGTTGCTGCGCCAAAATTGGCTTACAATTGTAAGATAAACATAATACCACCTTCCTAAAATAATGGTCGACGTAATTTTTTGCCAAATGTATTTTTTTTTTCACTTTAATCATCTTTAATCATCTTTTGGCAATAAAAACTACTTTCACAATAGTTGGTCACAGTAGTTGCTAAGTTATTGTCCAAATTTGGTTAAATGATGCTTCATAATTATCGCATCTAAGTTTATTCGGATACGACGATGACATTAAAGCCAACTTAACTGTGGTCCAATCAGAGGGAGCCAAACTAATCAGATTTGCAAATATCGTGTCCAGTAAAGAGGAAAATGAAAACAATGTATTTCTCCGCGTTATATGTATTGAAAAGAATTTGCAATACTTTTGATAGTAGAGATTATACACAAAAAAAACCCATAAAGTTCTACACCATCTGATGTTCCAGTTAAATATTGAAAACTTAAGACGTTTAAGAAAGAAATTGAAGAAAATCCACAAAGCATTTAATGGAGATGGTGAGAGGTTTTTAGAAAGCCATAACATATACATGGTTCACTGCCATAAAATACAATAAAAATATCCTTTATTGTCCCTCAGTGGGGAAGTTCAGAATGTAGAAATATAGACACAGCTTGAGTAAAATCCCATTTTTTTCTACTAATATACAACAACAACAACAAAACGGTTCTGTTTTGCAAAATTGCTCACAATCACCTAATGAAAGGTAGGCCGGTCCACCCAGGTGCTACGGCTGTCTGAAATCGGTTCACGGTGGAAATCTGACTTTGAGAGGGGCCGTCGTCACGGCTACACCGATGTCACAGCTCGATGCGAGTGAGCTTTTTCACTGGCAGCTTTCATTCACCCAATCAAGGCAAACAGGCCACGCTCTATTTAATGATTATCCCAGCATCTGTCCTCCATCTCATGTCTGTGTGAGGCCAGCAAACACCGGAGCAGGAGCCCAGCGAATATGATCCAGCTTAAGCAGCTTGATTCTGGCTCTCGGCACGTAATTTCATCTCAAACTGATCACATTTAGAAATGATGGCGAATGCTTTTGGGCCTCGTGAACCGATTGTGTGACTGTGATTTATCACATAGTCAGTGCAGGGGTGGTTAATAGAGGATGTGATTACAACGGTACCGTTTAATGCGAGCTCAGTAAAGAGCATGATTACAACACTTAGGATGTAATCTTGGTTGTTATCCATGAGCAGGAGATAGCAATCCAAAGATGTTCTTTAACCAGTTTTTACTGTTTTTTTTTTTTTTTTTTTTTTTTACTTACAGCTGTCAGGCTTTGTGGATAATGGGACTTTCGTTGAGGCACATTCCTGCTGCAGGGTGTGTTCATCCCATTTACTGCATATGCTTTGTGGAGAAGATTGCCTTCTCTGTGGAGAATGACACATCAACTGGCTGCTTTTTTTTTTTTTTTCCCCTCTGGTCACCTGAAAAATGTGACTCATATTACTGAAACAAAAAAAAAAAAACTTTTCAAATTAATTGTTAATTATTCAAATTCCCTTTCAGAGATATTTCAGCCCCTCCACCACGCAACAGAGTGAAAAATCCAGTCACACTTTACACAATACGCCTCTGTTTTTCTTTCTCATAAGGTGTTAATTGTAACTCGGCCGTATATGTCGACAAATGAATCAAGAGGTCTGATTTAGTGGTGGGCATTTATCATATTGTTTGTCATTTATTGTGATACATTTCTTATCACGATAAATGTTTGATTCATCGTTTTCAGAATAAATCCCAATTAATGGCGTTTAAAAGCCCCTGAAATGGTTTGTGTTGTCGCGATTATTTTTACAGTTTATATCCACTGTTTGTTCAATAAAGGTGCATCTATAAGTAGCAATAAATAGTTGTAACTTTTGTTATCACAGTAGTACCACAAATTATCATGATGAAACTTTACGTTCACAATGTAACGAAGAGCAACAAAATGTAAGCCTGTCTTCACCTTAAGAATGCCTAACCTCAGCAATTGTTTGGTACTCTTCTTTTTGCTTCCTTAAAAAAAATCCTTTTCTTCGATTACCAACGCTGTAAGTTGCCCCTTTGGAAACCAAGATGCATTTTAGGTGACTGTCCACAAAATGTTCTGTCTGCATCTGTGCATGTGCCATCGACACAGTTTTCTTTACTGCTAGCTAACATCTTAGTACATTACTGCCACCTTGTGGTTGCCGTGTCGTATTAACACGGCGATGATCAAAGTTTTTGTCGTGTGGCCCAAAATCATCTAGTTAAATGCGTTTCTGATGTGTTTTGTCGGGCACTATTTCCGATGTCACCAAAGCAACAAACGGAAACATGATTTTCAAAAACAAATTGTTTTAAGAAAGGAATTGATTTCTCTGTTAAGTAATACAGAGAGGAAATGCGTTCATTTCCTCAACACACCCGTTGAGGAAATGAACTTTGGTGTTTTTGGAGAAATATCACTTTTTCCCCTCTCGTTGTGTTCACTGTTCTGTATGCTACCTCTCGGAAACATCGTAATTTGGGAATGGGCAAAGTGAGGTCCTTCTTTCTGACTTTCTTTCTCTCTGCATTTTGGACGCAAGTTGATCAATAAACACATCTTTGCTGCAACTCACATCAACACCTGGAAATTCCCTAAAGGGCAGGATGGAGTAGACAGGCAACAAGGACGGCCACGATGCGAATCTAATGAGAAATAGCAGAAAGGGGGCATAGGTGCTAAATAGGGAAGTAACGCCACAACAGAAGAGAGGCACCAAGAGAGTCTAAAAGAGGTTATTTTCTTGATTTTTCAGCGCAGTGGTTTTTGAGATGAATGTGAAGGATAAAGCTGTTGGTAATCACCTATTACTGTCTGATGGATGAATGTTTACCCCAGCATTGTCTGTTCCGAGTTGAATAAAACATGAAGTGCCGCTTATGTGACAAAACATGTTGATCTGAAACAAAGCATTATTCTTCTACCTTTGGCTGTTGTGCTGACTCTATGAAACAGCATTATCTCTGCACTCTCCTGTAACAAATGCAATTGTAATTCGTATACATGCAAGATATTATGTTTTTTAAAAATGAAAGGATTCCATCTCTGCAGTGACATACTTCCATAGATCAGTTGCTTTTTAGGATTCATTAGAGTTAGTAAGGTGTTGTGATTGTCAGGGATTTTGTCCTGTGTCTGAACAAAATTAAAAAATAAAATAAAAGAATGCCGCACAAAACTATTTGTTTTTAGATCAAGGGTTTTGTCACCGTGGAAACGACAGGAAAATAGAAAACTGCTCCCTCCGCGTCTTTCTAATCCAAGGCTGTTTCAGGCAGAAACGATCAAAACACAAACCTATTAATGGGAGTAAATAAGCCAGACACTTAATGTTGCTGGTTAAAAATATCACCTGTTACTGATGAGGAAGCCAGACTGAAAGAGAAGCTGTTAATATGACAATGACCTGCAGGTTGCACCATGGAGTAGAGAGGAACGCACGTAGATTCTATGCAAGGCCGATCAGCTCTTTGATTATTTTTTTTCTTTTTCCTGTAATTATTACTAATATCAACATACTGAAAGGAGTCCTACTAAGTTAGATAGTAGAGCAGACCTTCAAGGGTCAAATGGAATCCATGCCTCAATGGTTCAGGGCATTTCTACACGCAAAATGGGACCAATGATCTATTAGGCGTCTGGTTATAATATCATTGACGCGTAGCGGAAAATAGGTTTGTGTTTTTGCAGTGTAGTTACTACTCCCGCTTCACATTTTGGACCAATCACAGATTAGCTCTCAGAATCCACTCAAGAAAAGGTTCTGCTAGGATTCTGTGTTAGGATCTGGCTTCAAGAACCAGACTGAACAAGGATGTATCAGCTTTTTGGCCTTGGGATTGTCTACTTGCTAGCACAGCCACAAACCCAATGCAATTTCAAGGCCTTATTAGTGTTTTTCCTTCTGCTTTCAGGTGAGACCGGTGCAGCCCTGTCACGCCCACAGCGACCCCTTTCGGCCCGGACGGCCCACCACGCCCCGGCGCCTATGAAAGGGTACCATGTCAGCCGTAGCATGTCTCAGCATTCCTCTGGTGGTGGCGGAGGAGGGCCCTGCCACTGTACGCCAGACGACTGTGACGGCCCAGGCAGAGAGTACTACCATGGACGTAGCGACGGGCACTACTACTCGGGTGGTCCAACCGATGCTCTGGCACTGGAGAGGCATCACTCCCACTCTCATTCACACGCACACTCGCACTCCCATAGCCACTCTGGCACCTTTCCCCGCTCCCACCCCAGCCAGCACCCGGCTCTCCAGTCGTTCGACTCCTGCGAGGAATGCCTGTCTTCGGGCCATGGGGGAAAGATGCATCGGATTCCTCCAAACCTAATGGACCAGTTTGAGAAACAGGTTCCCTTCCACCCAGACGGCTTCCACACCCTACAGTACCAACGCACGGCGAGTGGCGGGGCCGAGCACCGCAGCGAGAGCCCCTCTCGTATTCGCCACTTGGTCAACTCTGTCCAGCGCCTCTTCGCCAAGTCTCATTCCCTTGAAGCACCCACCAAAAGGGAGTACAATGGCATGAGGGGCAGCGGGGAGTACCGGGGTGACAGAGGAGGGGGCCACAGAAGCGGCGGGGAGGAGGTTCACTACTCAGGCCACCAGTCTCGCTCGACCAGGAGGAGCAAGTCGCGAGAGCGCAGCAAAAGCGGTGACTCTCGGCACGAGTCAGGGCGACGTCACCGCAGCCGGACGGCCGGCTGGTGGAGCTCCGACGACAACCTGGACAGCGACAGCAGTTTCTTGGTCAGCGGGGGCAGACGGGGTTATCCCACTGGACACGAGAGTCTGGATGCCGCCATTCAAGAGCTCACCATGAAGAAGCCAAAGGAGCGAAGCGGAGGACCCGGATCCGCCGAGTGCATGGCCTGCACCACCATGGCTCTGACCGGCGGCGAGGGCGGCGGGCACCATGGCCACCACGGTCACTCCCTGAAGCGGAGCACCTGGTCGGCCATGACAGTGAGTCAGGCCAGGGAGGTTTATCCTTCCACCAGGGGAGGAGGTTACGATAAAGCACTGGTGCCCTTGGAGAACAAGCTGAAGGAGAGATCATTCCACTACCTGCAGGTTTGTGTGTACCAATATTTTCAACAGATTCATACAACAGCAAAAGACACGCATTGTTTCTTTAAATATGTGACGCTTTTCATGCCAAGCTGCCACACATGGAAATGGGCTTAAAGTTTTCACAGGCAACCCTTCTGAAGGATCCGATGCAGCTGAAGTTAAAAGTACTGTGAGTTTGAGTAGTTCATGTCAGAAAGTGAAGCAGTTTTCCAACACAGTTATAAATAACTCCTAAAAAAGCTATGTGCCATAGGGAGAGATAAGTAGTCCACCCCCACCTTCTTTTTTTGTTTCTTTGTCACTCATTGCTTCTAATACTCGCATGCAGACACAAAATCTCTTTACTGTATAGAATAAGTACCAATTGTTAGATTTCCTTGCTATACAGAAATACAAACACATTTCAGGATTATTTAAATTGTAAATATATGCCAAATGTCTGGCCTGATCATGAGATCAGTAAGCAAATCGAAGCAGTTGAAACCAAGGTTCGCCTGCTTTCGGTTGTTTTGGAGCAGGTGTTCCTAAGACACTGATTGAAGCTATCAAACGTCTGAATGCCTGAAGCGCTGAAGCAGCAGTAAACGACATAAAAGCAAGTTTCAAAGTGAACTTAATTTCAGTCATGACTCATGCTCAGTCATGTTGTAAATGGTCAATGGACTAAGTTTATGTAGCGCTTTTCTGGTCTTGTTCGACCGAACTTTACACCACGTTCACAAACGTCCACACATTCTCCTGGGGCTTAAATGCCCAAAGGCACATTGACGTGTGTCAGGAGAAACCTGGAGTCCAACCTACAACCTTCTAAATGCAAGATGGCTATCAGCTATTCTCCCCAAACCCTTTGCTGTTAAATTAGAACAATGACCAACAAACAAACTTATTTAGTTTCACCTCCAAAGCAATAACTCTTCACTACTTTAAACCTGTTTTTCAATATTCCTTTGTCACTCATTCAATTACTTCATGTAGTGTATCTCAGGAGGCAGCAGTATTTTCCTTTGGTGTGTTTTTTATTTGGATTCTAGGCGATGGACAAACGCAAAGTTGTGCATGATTGTAATTTGGAGGAAAATTCATGCATGGTTTTTATGACTTCCCCAAAAACTACAATGAAAGTGAAGAGCTCAATACAAATGCATTCAGAGTTTTATTAGTATAAAGATTTGAAAACCCTTCATTTTCTACTGGCACTTCGCACAAACGGTCAATAAAGTACATTAAAATTTGTGGCAGGAAGAGAAAATGTGTTTGGAAGACTAGTTTTTGAAAGTACTTCTGACTATTCAGACTAATATTGTTTAATGTTGTTTGGTGTCGATAGATGTTTTCATCTCGTGGTAACAGATGAGTGCTTTTGCAGTCAAGTAAAATGAGCAGATGCAAGGTGGGGTGACTTTCTTCTGCTAAATGCTCTTCTTCAACACGGCCAACATCTACACAGTCGTATGTAATGACGAGTGGTTTCATAGCAACCGTACACTTTCATATAAGGAGCAACCGTGGCCTGTCCGTAACGGTGCTGAACTCTGTTGGTATTCCATCAGAGTGGCTTCTCCCTGCAGCTCCTACACTCACAATCCACATTCCTGATGTATGTTCAAACATTTAAAAATTCAGATGCATTTGAATTCCTCAAGGATTTTTTATTTTTTTAAGTAGAAAAACATCAACTTTGAAGTATCGACTGTCGAAAGAGTGCTTAAAAGTACCAACCCCCAAATGACTTTCTTGGTATTTCACTGCTACAAATTATTGATCCACGCCCACACGTTATCTACCTTTCTCTCGAAACAATCGTGTCTCCTACTTCTCGCCACTCTTGTTAATCCCAAACGGAACAGAAACAGACGGGTGCCCTTCCGCTTCTCTGGCGGACGCAGGCCTCCTAAAATATTACGTGTAATTGCTGCAGCGTAGCTGAAAAGGCAACCGAGTGAGCACAGAAAGAGGAAGAATTGCAAACGCACGCACACGCGCACACATCAACCTCCAGCTGCGCTGAGCTGGAGCTGCCATGCAGGGCTGTGTTTCTACGGAAACAGCAGGTAGTCACAGGAGTCCCTGGTGTTTTTCCAACTCTCATCCTTTACAGACAGCTGAGGTTTGCCGATAGAAGGGAGAGCGAGGTCATGCGAGTTGCCGTTCTGAAAGGATAAACCTCACACAATTTGCCTCCGTTCTTGAGGCTGCCGTCGCCTTCGCACCTCAGGTCACAGAGAGAACTTCCCTTGCTGCAGGTTTTCTCATCTCCGGGTGTCACCGTCTTGGCAGTGTTAGGGAGGGAGAAAAAAATGAGGAGGCAGTGCATTGGCTGAATTCTGTGTTGTGTTCAGATGTTGAACTCCACACATTTATGGAACCGGTAACGCCTAGAACTGCAAAGATCTGGTTTTGGACAAGACTGTTCTTTTCATTTTGTATAAGGTGTAACTCCTGTATTATTTGAAGTATAAAGAATGTTTATGTAGTTGGTTTCTTGTTTCCAGCAGATAAAAATCAACCGGTTATCTGTGATCTGATATACAAGATGATGTGCATTCAAGGCTACTTAGCAACAAGCATACTTTGCATGTGAAAGCAGCACAAGTGGCTTTAAAAATGGGAAATATGGCTCTTTGCCCCAGGGCACGTCTGTGTGAGCGATGGCACCATTCCCCCAAGACAAAATATTTGACATGGTAATTCATACCTGCATAAAAAATATATTTCAGATCCACTTATGTCATTTTTTCCCCCTTAAATGCTTAGTTTTTGAGACGCCAACCAAATATCCTAAGTACAACACACTGCACATTTATTGCAAATCCTTAAGTGCATAAAAGTCTGCTAAATTTAACCTATGCTTCAACTGCATCTCAAACTGAAAACACAGCTTCAGTTTTCGAATAGTTTCTTACAACTTTGGAGAATTATTCTTCTGTTTCATTGTCACAAGAACGAGTCAGAGCCTTGTCTTACTCGTTTGACCCAGATACAGCTTTAAAAACTTTTTAATTATTAGTCTGAACATCGTTAGTCGCTTTGTGACTTGTGAAGAACACATGAGACGTGAGACTTGCTTGAGTTGCATGTTCACTCGTTTTTCCCATTTTGAAGGAGTTGCCAAGTAAAACTGACCTGTCTCACTTTCTATTTATACTCCATTGAAGCAAGAAGACATGGATTACTAACTAAACTTGTCTCTTTTGTTTCATAAGGATAAATATATAAACAACCAATTATTTCTTATCATGGAAATTTGTCCTACACTGAATAAATGCGCTCAAATTGGATTTTTCAAAATTGTTTTTTCTTTTAAGATTATATGACTGCAATAAAAGATTAAACTACTTTAAGACTCGGCCCATATTTACCAGGAGGGCAACAAATGAGGATAACTCCCATCCAACATAAGGCATCTTTCAAAGGCGCAGATATAGATAATGACAATCATCAAGTCATCAGACACCTACGGTATACTCTCACTAATGTGCCTCTAATGTTGCTTAATTTGCATTCAAAGCAGGAACTGATGCAGTAGATGAATTAGTACACACCTTCTCATTTCCTGTCAGCAGACTATTAGCTACCTGCCAGCTTCGTGCCAGCTCGTCATTGCTCTTAATTTTGTCTCCTCTGCTGCACCGTAGACATGTGTGCCTGTGCGTGTTTTCCAGGCTTTATGCTGTATGTGCTTTTGTTGTGTAGATCCCAGCAAAAACTGATTACATATTCACAGAAGCAAAAGAGTAGTTACCTCTAGGCTCGCGTCGAGGTATAGATAACTGAGAAGGAACGCCACATGTTTGTGATTTATGAAAGCAATCTTCTGTTTCTGTGGATGTACATTTTGATCTACAATGTACAATCTACAATGATGTACAATCTTAATCTGTGAATGCATTTTCTTCTCTCAGTCAGCTTGTTGCGTGTTATGTCAGTCCACACAAATACCAGGTTCCAACTTGGATTAGGGATTCATCAATCCACTTTTTTCACTTCCAATACCGATACAGATATCTGGAGTACAGTATGGGCCGATACCGATCCGATACGGAGAACTAGAGCTGAATTCACTGAAAGTGTTTCTTAAAAAAAAAAAAAAAAAAAGACATAAATGTACTGAATTGCAAATTTATTTGATAACTGCACCAGTACAGCACACTTAGATGCACCAACAGCTTCACATGCTTTGCTAAAAAACACAACACAACTTTAATTTGTTCAGTCGGTGCAATTAGAAGCATAGCAATTAATGTAAAATAATAATAAAAAAACTGACGGAAACAATAGATTGATGTAAAAAATAAACTGCAACAAAACGTCCTTCAAATGGTTTATAAAGTACAATTAGGAATTATAAATACAATACAATATAAATAATAATGAGGTTTCTCAGAGCCAGAGTCGGGTAGTAAATAATTAGTTACTTAATTGCATTTACTTGAGTAAGTCTATTGAAAAATTTGACTTTTATGTCAATTTTTTGACATGCTGCACTTTTTACTTTTACTTTAGTCTTTTTATTTTGAAGTATCACTAATCTTACTTGAGTAAAATTTCTAGATTCTCAACCCATTGAATAAACAACAAACATGTTTTACCCAAAAATTCACCAGACACACACACACCTGCAGTTTTGTTCAAGTTTCATGAGTTTTATATTGGAAGAAACTGATTTTGAAAAGTTTTCTCTGTCTGATTTTGTTATTTTTTTGTTGCCAAGATGAATTACTGTCATTTTGGTCCTGAAAATGCCAAAATCTCCACTTTATATTTGGTCCATCTGATTGTGTAATTTTTTAATCTGAAATGTTTTATAATTTGATCAGTTACTCATTGCATGAGTTGTCTTTAAACCAAACGCCTTTTTACTCTTGAGTAATTTCTTGGATGGCTACTTTTTACTTTTACTTGAGTAAAAATATATTGAAGTAGTGCTATTTTTACTTGAGTACAATTCTGGGGTACTTTACCCACATCTGGACAGACTACAAAGAATAAAATTAGTCTGAATAGATCTGCCCCTATGGTTGCGGCACATTGTCACCAATCTAGAATTTATTCCAGTATCGGGACCGATACCAATATTAATATTGTATCGGTGCTTTACTACATTGGATCATGGGTCGAGTGAACAGGACAAAGAGAATCTTGGCAAGTTTTACATTACAGCCGTCCAAGATAGATAGTCGTGTGTAAGGTTTCTCACCCACAGCTCAAATGCCAATCAAAATGTGTGGCACGCGAGCCCGACACTCTTCGTTCCCTGTCCCTTTTCCCCCCATCATCCGCCTGCGAGCGATAGATAAGAAATGATTAAAAAATGAGAATATGGAGTGAGAATGAAGGGAAGCCGGACGAGGTGAGAGAGAGAGAGGGGAGTGGAAAAGACAGACTTGGAGAGAGCAAGAGGGACGCAGAGATAGCAAAGCTCAGGGATAGGAAATAGATAAAGGAGGTTATGGTAGCCAAGGGGCTAAGATAAAGGAAGGAAAGGAGGTTGTGGAAATAAGAGAGATAGTAGAGGAGGGTGGCCACAGGGATCAGGAGATTAGGCTGAATCATCTTTTAAGTGATGACCTTAAAAACACACACTCAGCTGGTTGCCAAACCCTGGGGCCCTGACGATGAGTGTCTCAGCGCGTGTAGGTGTTTTTCATTTGGCCCCACACTTGTGGGGGACTGCAAACCTGACAATATTTGCAAAAACTAGAGGTTTGAGAGGTCCCTTCTGTGTAAGGGGGCTGCAGCAGGCTTTCATCTTCCTCGAAAAAGACGGGATCAGGTGTAAGAGACGGACTCACACAGACGAATGCCAAACGGAACGAGTTCCCCTTTTACAAAAAGGGGAACTCGGGTGATGCTTGGTGCTTACATAAAAATGTAAATAATAGATTAAAAAAGATCATGAACTTACTATTTGTATTTTTACCCTCTTGTTCTTAATGGTTTTAGATGTACGACAGCAAGTGTGCAATGTAATTTGGTAAGCAACCATTAGTTTATTTTGACATAAAGGGAAAATTATTTTATATTTTACAATCAAAACAGGATGTTTTGAGCTTTACTCTCAAAATCATAAGTTGTAGAAGAGGATTTGTTTGTTTGAGAGCACATATGTCAAAGCCAAAGTGCCACCCAAGACTTAAAAGTATGGGAAATTAATAAATTGCAATCACACTTTCATTTTTTTTTTTTTTTTTTTTTTTTTTTTTTTTGTAAGGGCTTAAATGATTTTTGTCTTGCCAGAATTTTAGATTTTATCACAAATAGTCCTTCATCAGCACACAGAAATAGAGGTAGACTGGTGTCAGAAAAGGGACACTTTTAAATTTTTGTCTGGGTTGCCGGTTTGGTAGGTCTCAAAGCTACAGCTCTCAGGTAGAATTATGCAATATAAAACATAATTTTGTATACCTAAATTTGAACCGGAGATTATTGTACCTCTATGTATCACTACTTTCTTCCTGGGAGGCCAGTGTGTTATGCATTAAGGTCTATTACTCAGGTAGTTGAGGTATGTTCTTGGATATTTTTGCTTTTTTTGTTTGTTTGTTGTTTTTTTACATAACAATTAATGCAACTGTTATGAAACCAACACAACCAAACCTGATATAACACTTTTCTATTTTTTTTAAAGCAAACTACAGTTTTAACATTGCCGTTCATAATGTAAATGAAACATATTTGTAGCTGATAAAATTCATACAGCTTAACGAGGCTTCACTGAGAACATGCCGAGTTTTTCTGTATATCAGCTCAACTGTCTACCTGTCTGTTTTTTTATTTTATTTTTTTTTGTTTTCCCACCTGACTTCCTGTTGTCACTCCATTGATACTTCGCTCTCCTGTTTTATGTTTAGCTATCTGCTCACTCTGTTTGCCATCTCCTCCACACACTATTTTCTTGTCCTTTGTGCATTTTTTTTCCTCCCTCTGCCTTTCTGCTTATTTGTTTATTTGCTCTCCATCTGTCGGCTTCTTGCTCACGCTTTTTTTTTCCTGTTTCTTTGTGTCAGTGTTTCTCCAGCTGTCAGAGTTTCTCTTTCTCTGTAAGTTTCTTTGTGTGTTTCTCTCTTTCTTCTCGCGTCATCTACAGTGAGCGTTTGGAACGTACGCGTTTGCGTTGCGTGCACGTGCATGTCTTTTTCTTTTCTTTTTTTTTTTGCTCTCATCGCGTGCACGAGCATGATGGAGCTCAGCCGGTTTGTTTCCTTTACACCCCGATGGCGTGCTCGTGTTTTAAGGACTGTGTGTCTGAGTCATTGCTGTCCTTCTGGTCGCAGTGCAAAAAATATTTTCCCGTGAGAGAAATATAATTCTGTCTTTTGGACTGTATTAACAGATATTGTGACAACACGTTCAATATCTCACAACTAATGAATTCATTTTATGAATGATGTTTGTTTTTTCCCCCTCCTAACATCTCATTTTGCAGAGCTGCTCTTACTGTTAACACATTTAGTCTGTTTACTACAATAATAAAAATACCATAAAACCTCTTCTTTTTATTTTTTAACACTCATCACACCTTTTTGGTTTTGCTCTATAATCCAAGTTGTGCGTCTATCTGGTTATGTCGGTAGCCAGAGTGTGACTAACACTAGATGTGCTTCAGGTCCCCTCAGAGGACTGGGGGGGCGGCGGCTACGGCGGCTCGGCCGACAGCGGCGGTGAGATCCCGTGCCGTCGGATGCGCAGCGGCAGCTACATCAAGGCCATGGGCGACGACGACAGTGCAGACTCGGAGACGAGCCCTAAAGCCTCGCCCAAATCCACCTTGATCGCCCAGAGGGACGCCTTCAGACGCTCCATAAGCATGGATCAAAGGTTAAATGCCACAAGAACCGCATATATGTCACCACTGATAGAGAGCCCACGGCT